GACGCTACAGATGCCACGGGCGGCCCTGTCGCTGTCGCTGCTGCGGTCGCCGCGCCGGGCACGCTGGGCAGCTCCGAACGCAGCTCCATGACAGGCCCTAATGTGGAAGAAAATGGGTAGGAGAGAGAAATCTGAGTGAGGAAACCACGGCGCCCTAGGTTAAAGCGCAGATCGAGGAACCCAAGCTGAGAGAGCGAAACTTTGACCTCCGAAGTTTGGGTAGCAGTTGCCAAACTGTGGAAAGAAAGTGCATTCGCCTTGGAAGCTCCAAATAAATCCGAGCCCCCCCACCGCACTCCCATCACAGCTGATCTTATATATGATTTACATGCCCGGAGGTAAGATATGGTTTGAATAATTTCCTCTGGAAAAAAATAAAAAGACAAAGTTTGAAGTCACTGGTTCAGATGAATGTACGGAGAATTTGAAAAAGAAAATATCTCCAAAAGTTTAGGTTAATTGGGGTGACGGGGAAGAGAGAAATGTTTGCTCGATGGGACTCAGGTATCACAAAAAAATCTTGGACCAACAGTTATGCTGATGCCAAAGACAAAACAGAAAACTCCAGAGCAAAATGTTCAGATTGGTGGAAGGAAGATGAGGGGAGTAATGTTGGAGTGTAGGTTGGGCCAGGGTTTTGTTTGGTTTTTGTCTTTAATGTGGGTGGGACCAGAAAAGTTCGAGAGAAAAATCAAGAACAGAAATAATAGCTTTCTGTTGAAAGTATAATGATAGCTAGAAAACAAAATTTGGGGTAACATTAAGCCTTGGCTCTGGATCCCATAAAAATGTGAGCTCTGGAAATTCTCCTGCGAGATTGGGAAAGAAAACAGGTGTGGGACTGAATTTAGAAGGTTGGAACAGAGTAAAGAGAAAATTCAGCAGAAGAAACTTTCTTTGGGAGGCAAAACCAGCCCAAAGATTAGAAAACATTGAAAAACGGCTGATATAAGTGCTGAGGACTCAGGGCATGCAAGGAGACACGTGAGTATGAACGAAAAGCGCTTAGGCAAAGCTAGGTAGGGTTGGGTACAGGGCCAGGCCTGTGGTAGTTTTATCCCTGTAGGCTGGAGTAGTTGGGAAGGAAGTGTCTGGCGAAAAGTTAGGCACTGCTCCAAGGGGATCTTTTTCTCCGACTGCCTCACACTGCCCTCCCCACCCCTCCCACTTTAGGGACGCCGTCGCCAGACACGCCCTCCTCCTTCAAGTCCTGGCACCCCCTGGGACCCCGCTGGAGCGCAGGTTCCGAGTTTTCGTCTCTGAGCTGGGTTTCTAGGACTCGGATGGCTCCACAGGCCGCAGTGAGGCAGGGGAGCTGCCTCCGGAACTGGCCAAGAACCGACACAGAAGTCTCGCCTGCGCCACAACCCCAGAAAGCTCACGCAGGGCCCAGCTCCTGGCTTCCGCCTAGGCCTTCTCTGCCCACTTTCCCCTCCCCATCCCGGTCCCCGATGGAGCCTGGAACTGAGTCCTCTCGTCTCCGTCTGCCTGAGACTTCCAGACCTCCTCCCTTGGCGCAGGTGCCTCTTCCCTCAGACCTTTCAGGCCGCTCTGTCCGCGAGGCCCGCCGGGCCTGGAAGGCCTTGCTGTCCGGGGCCGCGGGCCGGATCGCCCCCAAGCTGCTGTCCCTGCAGCCCTCAACTACCTGCCTTGGGCTCCGGGATCCTCCTCCGCAGGCGCGGCACGCGCCTCCCAGCTCGGCTCCTGACGCTGGCACTCTTGGCCTCTTCCCCTCGCCCCCGGCCCTTATCTGACCACGTCACCCTCCTTCGGTCACCATTTCCGAACTTCCGGACCCCCTCAGAACGCAGCGCGGTCCAACCCTCCCGTCGGGAACGGGGCCGGGAGCCCGTCTGGGGGCCGGCTGTTTGGAACCTGCGACCCAGCTCTCTCGGCGCGCCACGTCCCCGCTGGCACTCTTGGCCTCTTCCCCTCGCCCCCGGCCCTTATCTGACCACGTCACCCTCCTTCGGTCACCATTTCCGAACTTCCGGACCCCCTCAGAACGCAGCGCGGTCCAACCCTCCCGTCGGGAACGGGGCCGGGAGCCCGTCTGGGGGCCGGCTGTTTGGAACCTGCGACCCAGCTCTCTCGGCGCGCCACGTCCCCCGTCCCCACTCAACCGGGGCTCAGTGCCCGGCGCTGCCAGACTCTCAATGAGCCGTTCGCCCGCTCTATTGTTGCTCCTTAGGGCTCCATTAGACAGAATTGGACAACAATGTGGCGCCTGCCATTGGCCAGGGGAGGCAGACAGCGCTCTGATTGGCCGGGCCCGCGCCCGGGGAGCCCCTCATCCTGCAGTGTCCGAAAGATTCGAAACTCCAAAAGCTGCACTGTGCGCCTCTGGGAGGGGAGGGGGCGCGCCGGGGATGAAGTGGAAAAAAGTGGGCGAGCAGAAGCGTTGAAAATATCGTGACAAGAAGTTTCCGTGTGCCCGAGAGCGTGAATTGCTCCTAATTACCGTGTCCGGTGCGTCTATCTACGTAGACGTGTGTAACCCCTCGGCTTGGGGGCGCCGGCTCGGCTGCGCCACTCTCACTGGCCTGGGGCGCTTGGCAAAGCGAAGCTTCCCAAGTGGCCCCGGCGGCCTGGGGCGGGATGGGGGCAGGTGACAATTCAATTACCTCGGTTGAGGTGGGAGTGGAACGGGGTGCGAGGGTGGGCAAGGGAGGGTGCTTGTGGCATAAATGCCAAGACGGTGTTTCCTGCCTCCTTCTGGCTCGGTTTCATTGAGCTCCCGAGTCCGGCGCGTGTGTGGTAGTTGGAGCTGTCCCCCCGACCCCCAGCTATCTTTAAAGCTCAGTGTCTTCATTTTAGAAGTCTTGGTACGTCACGGAGGGTAAGTTGTGGTTAGGATTTTCCTTTTAAAAAGAGCAGCTCAGAGAGGAAAAAGGAGACAGAGCTTCCTGTCCGTTCCACAGCAACCCTGCGCTCTGCGCGTTCCCCTCCTTGCTCCCCTAGTCTTCCCAGGCCCCTCTGGCTCTTTCCTTCATCTCTGTTTCTCTTCATCTCTTTTCTTTTCTGTGGCGATGGGATTCTTATTGTCGTTATTTTAAATTAACGAAAAGTTTCTGTCGTTTTCCAACGAAAGTAAGAAGCAACCTCTGCGTCTCCCTAGATCGTCCTGGGCCCTGGACTCGCGTCCATCTGTCCTTCCCGGTGGAAGTCGAAGTCGAGGTCTCCGCGGGCAGAGGAGCGGTTTTGGCCTTGCCTTGCGCTTACCTGTGCTGACGTCACGGACCGGAGGAGCAGCTCGGTCTGCCGAGGAGGTAGCAGGTTTCGAATTTTGTTTCACTTATGATGGCAACATTAGGGATAAATACTGTGATCTTCCTGTCGGGGTTGCCCTTAGCTTCTCCAGCTCTGATTTTATCACTCCCCCCCCACCGCCCGTCTTTGCCTTTAATGAGCTAAAGTTCTGTCAGTCTCATTTTTATTCTCCATTTTTCTCTCTCCAGAGTTTTTAAAAAATCATTTAAATGAGAAAAGTGAGCTTCCTGATTGTTCTCCTTTCACCACCGACCTCACTTTTTCGCGTTGTTCCTTCGACCCTCACAGGCGGCAGGGGTCTGGTCCAGGAGCGGACAAACCCAGCTTCTTCTGGCCCTGGAGCCGGGAACTGGGAGGAAGACGCGACCGCCAGGGCTCCACCGCCAGCCGCAGAACCTCGCGCCCGAAGAGCGCTAGGCTCGCTCCCCTGAAGGAAGCCACCCCGAAGGACGAGGCTGAATGGCAGGAGGGGTCAAGTGACGAAGAATCCGGACCATCTGCCACCCGGACCGAGATGGGCCGCTGGCTCCCAGGAAATCCCATCCTCTCAGGAGCCTGGGAATGGGTTTGGGAGAAAAGGGTCAGCTCCAGAGATGGTCTTCCGGGTGGAGCGAGGCTAGGGGAGTGCACTGGGTATAACAGGTCCGCCCGGGCGCGCAGGACCGAACCCCACCTCGCAGCACCCAAAGTTGTGCGCCTGAGCAGATCCACGCGACAGCTGTGCCCCCTCCGGGGGCGGTGGCTGGGAGGATCCCTTCATTGCCGGGGATTCGCGCGGGGGTCCTGGGAGCCTACTCCCGGAGTCTTTCCCAGGAAGTTTTCAGGAAATTATTTTAAACCCAAAACGAAATAAATTAAACAAATTCGCTTAGGTTGCAGGAGGATGGTGGCCCAGGTATCTTTTCTTTGTAGCGATGCACTCGCCGGATCCAGGGGTCTTACCAAGAGGACCGGGAAGCAGAGCTCTCCCTCAGAGGTGTAAGGACCTCCTTTTCTTAGGAGAAGCAGGGGCCCAGTATGGAGCCCCACACAGCAAAGCCTAGGGAATCTCTCTTGCTTAGTTCTGTTGCCTCTGTCTACGGTTCCTCTTTCCTACCGTTCACATCACATACCCATGGGTCCCAGACCCACAACCTTTCCTCTCACACCCTGAGAAGTTGGGGTGCTCATGTAAGTGAATGTGTTCTGTAGGGAGGCAAAATACCAGTCCTGGACAGAGGTCACTGCGCCCACACTAGGACATGGTAGATGCCTCTGCCCAGCTTCCCGGGCCATTTGGGGCCTGTCCTTCCTGATTTGATCCGGTGAGGAGAGGACCGGAGTGGGTCCAGATGAGCCGCTAGCTGTGGGGGACCGCATCTAGGTTGAGGAAACGGGAGCTACCCTGTCATACACACACCTGGGGTGGGTTCACACCCAAGCTTTGATGTGCACGTTTTCACTGCAGAAGTTTGGATACACACGTGGGGCGAGCGAATGGGAGGGCGTGCTCGCCTCTGACACTGTCCTACCGCCCGAGGAACCCTTCAGAAAGTCTCTGAAATTCTCCTGTTAGGGCCTCCACTTGGTGAGTGAACCCACAGACTCCCACCTCAGGTGTCTGCCAGGCCAGAGAGAGGGAACACCCTCTCCACATATGCTTTCCTTTGCTTACTGAGTCTCAGACCCCAGGCCTAAGGCCGGGCCTGTGGCAGAGAAAGCCAGAGATCTCCGGATGAGCGAGGCAGCCTAGAGCGAAGGACCTGTCGGTCCTCACGCACGTGCAGGGCTCACACACCTTCTCTTAGCTCAGCGTCTTTTGCTGGCGTCTCTGGTGTGCCGAAGGTTGGGGGCCCGGGGCGAGAGCATCCAGCCAAGAAAATGTCCCTAAACCTTCTTCACGACCAAGCCCGTCCAACCCCACGCCCACGCCCAGCAGGGCTGGGGTCCGGGGGGAGGGGCCCGGTGGGGCTGAGCTGGGAGCCGAGGGCGTCGATTCCGATTCCGTGGCCCTGACTCGGAGCAGGGCTGGGGGCACCGACGGGGGACCTGGGAGGCGTTGACTTTTGCGCTGTTTGCCCGTGGCCTCGGAGCAAGCAGACGCCATCTGTTTGCCGGCTGCGACGCGTCCCGTTTAATTACCCTCCCGGCAGCCTAATAGAGATGATATTAAACTAAATCTTTCTGACATTAAAAGTAATTATCCCCAAACCGGTGGCTCCAGGACGAATCGCCCCTCCCGCCCCCACCTCTTCCCCAGCAGCGCTGGATTCCGTTAGTTTGGCTGAAACTTCACCCGGGAATGGGGCGCGGGAAAGACGGGGAAGGCGCCGGTGGGAGAAGGGGTCCCGCAGGCTGCCCGACACTTCTTCCCCACGCAACCACAGACGCTCTGGTTCGTGCGTCGGCACACACTGGTACACAAACACATTTTTCTCCCGATCAACTCACAGGTCCGTCTGGTTAAGACCCTCAGCCGCGCGCACCGCCGGGTGGACAGGGAGAAGCCTGGTTTGTTGTTCCTGTCCGAGCTAAAATGATTCCTTTCCGTGGGCAAACCCAGGATCAAGCCTAAGCCAGGCCAGGGACCAGGCACAGTTACGGAACTAAGAAAAATTCCTCACATGGCGGCGGTTGAGTCTGGGCTTTCCTCGCGGTCTTCCTGCGAGGGGCCCTTCGCCTGGCCGTGTGGAAGTCGCGCCGCCCTGTACCCGGCAGGTCCTGTTATCCACGTGTTCGGTGAGCAACTCGACTAGGAGAGGTGAGGTGACTTGTCCCACATCTCACAAGCAGCATGGAACTGAGCAAAATTCGAACCCGGGAGTTCTCCGTCAGGCACCAAGGATCTGCAGGGTTCCAGGCGCGGGCTCCTGCTGGGAGCCAAAGGCCCAACCCTAGCCCCGAGGCCCTCTGCGCCTCCAGGGCCAGGGCCCGCTGGAGCTGTTTCCTCCCCAGGTCCTCGATCCCGCTTGGAGCTCATGGGGGGCCAAATGAAGGCCGGGAGCCTAGGCACTGGCCTCGAGAGCACAGCAGAAGCCCCCAACGCTGAGCTCCTGCTGGCCACAACTCTCCTGGACCAAGTCCTGTAGTCTGCAGGGCACGCTCAAGGAAGGCGGCTGGCGAGTCTTGCCAGGCTTCGGCCTCACCGAGCCCTGGTTGGGTGCTTCTGAGCCTGGGGCACATGCGCACCAGGTGGGGCTCATTGCCTGTGTGCTGGTATTTTGAATGCCTACTGTGTGTTGTAACGGCCTAACCCTCGGTGCCTGAGGACTTGCTTGGCGCACAGTGCGACTTCCACGTTGCACACACCAAGTCGCAGGGTTCAGCCCTGCAAGGTAACTTGCCTGGAGCCACAGCGCTGCTGCAGCTTGAGAAAGGTAGAGAAACTCATACTAAAAGTCCACTCTCGGGCTGTCTTCTTACCTTGCATTCGGGGTAGGTAGGGTCAGACTTAGGGGCTTCTGTTTCAACCATTCACAAACACCAGAGAACCGGTTCATTCATTCATTCACTTAGGTAACAGGATTTAGAACGTAGTACTTGCAAGGTGCCAAGCCCCCCCCCCGCAAATGAATCACCTGGGAGGGCCCCTTATAGAGCTGTTGGCCAACTGGGGACACTGTCACCTACCAGTGACCTTACAGTGGGAAGAGAGCGGCAGTGGGAGTCTCTAATATTGGAAATAGGGCGAAAGGGGCTTTCTGGAGAAAGACACCCCGGCTGTGAGACAAGTTTCCCAAATCCTGTTACTCCTTGTTTGGATAAGGTAAAACAGAAAACATTTCAGACAACTCAGCCAAATACTTTTGGTGTGTATGTCTCAACATTTTTCACAAAATATTTTGTTACCTTTTCATTTTCAAGAATGATAAAATTTGTGTTACTCAACAGTTACATAATTTTAAAGGATTAATATTTTATTGTATGGATGTATTTTAATTTAGCCAATTCTTTACTAATGGATATTGAGTTTGTTTCCAATTTTTGCTCCCATAACATTTGCTAACATAAACATCCTCTGTGAATTTGAATTTGCCCAAATACTTCTTTAAGATACATTTCTAGAAATAACATTGATCAGAGACTTTTGTTTTTTTAAAAAAGGCCTTTGATAGCTACTTTTTAAAATGCCCTTAGGAAAGTGTGTATCAAGGAAAATGCTCAACAAAAATGCACCTTTGCTGATGCTTTAAATCTCTGCCATTTAAACAAGTAGTGTCTCATTGTCATTGTAATTCGCACTGCCTTAGTTATTCCTTAGTTTTTTTCTATTCCTTAGTTTTTTCTACAGGTGTTGATCACTTGAGTTTTTATTTTTTCAACAGTCTACTTATACTCTGTATTTTTTTATCACAGAACTCCTCCTTTCCTTAATTTTAGTAGCTATCTATTTACCAAAGACAGTAGTGTTATTCTTTTCTCTGCCATATCTGCTGCACTTCTCCAAATTTTGTTTTTATCCTGCTTTGGTATTGTAATGTTGAGCTAAAATTTTTCAAGGTAGATGCACTTGTTACTTTTTTGCTTATAGAGTGTAGGTATAGTATTATAATATAAATACTATACTATACTATAAATACTGTACATTGGCTTCTTTTTCCCCTGTAGTCCTAGGACTCACCCAGGGAGTCCAGCAGGCTAGGCAAGTTACCACTGAGATACACCCCCAGCAATTTTTGTTTTGTTGGTTATGCTAAGTTGTCCAGGCTGACTTCAAACTTGTGGGTTTTTTGATCCTCTTTTATCTCAGCCTCCTGGTAGCAGGGATAAGAGACCTCAGCCACCACTCCTGACTTCACCTATTTTTATATTTGCTCTTTTCCATTATTTACCCTTATACTTTTAGCTCATCCAAAATTAATTTTGATGAGAATTGTGAATCTCATCCAATCCTCCCCCAAATGATTAGCCAGTTATCACAGCACCATGTGATGATCCTGTCATCCCCTCACAGACCATATTCTATATACTAAAGTTTCAGATGGCCTTGGTCAGTTTTAGTTAGCACTTTCTCTTCCAGGATGCTGTTTACTCTTCTTGTTCTAGCCTCACCATTTTAATTACTGTAGTTCTGTAATGCTTGGGAAGGAATTAGTTCTGACCCCAATTCTTCTTTTTAAAAATTCTAAACTCTGCTTTCAAAATATAGTCTTCTAATTAAACATTCTATTAACTTTAAAGCTAATTTCAAAAAAGAAAGAGTAAATTTGGAAATGTAACTATCTTTAACTTTTAGTAATTTGAGGGCTAGGATGCCTCTTCACAGTAAGAATTATTGCTATCTAAGACACAGGTATCTTTATTCATGACTTTTATGTCTCTTGGTGAGTGCTCTTGGTTCCTTCCTATAGTTCTGCATCCTTGGTGCACATCTTCAGTATATATAGCAACTAAGAATGGAATCTTTTCACCCACTACAACTTTTAACTGGCTATGACAGGAGCTTAAGAAAGTTACTGATTAGAGTATGTTTATCTCAGAACTAGTCTTATTTCTGGCTTCTCTGCTTAAAGTTTTCAAATTAGTTCTCACAGAACTGACCAGGCAAAGGGAAGGGAAGAAATGCAGAGGAAACAGAAAGACTCAGGTGATTTTTAAATTCAGGTTTAGCCATGGTGTGTATCCATAGGTTGGTCTCATCAGAGCCATCTTTCTCCTGGATCCAAGGCCCAAGAAAGCAGCCTCTGGAAACAGCAACTCCAGGAATCAGCTAATTACAGCCCTCAGATGCAGAGACTCTACCCTGACATATGACTTTGGGGAAATCACCAGCCATCTCTGGCTCATCCTACAGTCACCCAGTCAGACTACCTAGGGGACAGCAGTAGCCAGGCTGCCACATGTTGGGCGAAGGAGAGTGGGTGGAGGAAGGGGATTAGGGCTGGCCCCTGGGCTAAT